TAGCAGTGTGATCTTCCTCCCTGCCATGCTCACTGGCACTGTAAGTGTGCTGTAAAGTCCTGGGTGTAAAGGTGTGTTGTGGCCTGTGCTGCCACATTCTGTGCATTTTACACTGACCTTGCAGTCATTGGCAAATTTAGGGACTGAGGATCAGCACTTGTAGCAAATGCTGTTTTCTTTCAGGAAAGCCTTGCGATCTTCTATGGCAGTGGTGGCGAACCTATGGCACGGGTGCCAGAGGCGGCACTCAGAGCCTTCTCTGTGGGCACGCGTGCCGTCGCCCCAGTCTTAGGCCTTCAGCTGGGTTTTATAAAACCTTTTCACTTTAGGCCTCCGCCGCCGTGTGCAAAAAAAAAAAAGGTTCAATCAGTCAATTTCAACTTCTCACGGGGAAAAAAAAGATATTGCAAAGTTGGAATTGATTGATTGAACTTTTTAGTCCCACCCAGTCTGCTGTTACCACCGCAGCCACACCCAGCCAATGGGCCACACCCAGCCAATGGGCCACACCCACCCAATTGGCCACATCCACCCAATTGGCCACACCCTGGCAATGGGCCACACCCACCTGGCACTAGACGATGCATAAGTGGGTTTTGGGTTGCAGTTTGGGCACTCATTCTCTAAAAGGTTTGCCATCTCTGTTCTATGGGCTTCTCTGAAGGCTCTGCATTTTAAGAGAGGATGTGGCTTCTGATGTAAAGGACACTGCTTACCAGGATCTCTGATCTCAGTTTCTGTGTGAGAGGAGCTGGCAGACCTGTGAAAGGAATCTGGAGGAGCCACGTTAATTTTGTGGACTGCTACTGGAGGCTTACGAGGATTCTGTTCTGAAGGAGCAGCACATGACAATGTGAAGTCAAAGGTAGGATCATTTCTTATTTTAGCTTGTTGGCACACAAAGTCCACAAAAATAGAGAAGGGGGGAAATGGAACATTGTACTTTCTTTTGTATTTAGAGCCATGTGTGATCCACTGCTCTTGTAAGTTATAGGGTAGCTTTTATACAATGGGGTTGACACCTCTGGCTGTGTCAAGGAATGCAAGTCCTTGCAAGTCCCCTTCTGACTTAGCTACTTGAAGTTCCATTAGTAAGTCACTAAGTTCCCCAAGTTTCTGATAGGCTCTGTTAGGTATTTTGGGGAAGCTGTCAAATCTTTTGAACAGTGCATTTTCCACTGCTTCTACTGAGCCATAACACTCATCAAGTCTGTCCCAGATCATTTTAAGGCCTGTTTCAGGGTAGTTTATGTTTATTGTCCTGATTCATATTGCATGCTCAGAAGATTCGATTCCGAGCCATTTAACTATTAAGTCTATTTCTTCACTACATGACAAATCTAAGCCTCTGATAACATGGTGTCTTCTGGAGGTGCTCAACTGTGTAGAGACTGCTGTATGGCCGTATGCAGGTAACTGCGTTGGCAGAGTAGCAGGCCTCTATATAGTCATTACCCTGGATCCCACTTGCTGGGTAGCCACTGTTTCACTGTTCTGTCCTTACTACACATTACTCGGTGTGCAGTTTGACATGCAGCTAAACCCATCTATCCTCCAATAAAACAGACCGTGTGCGTAGATCTGAATGCTTTATTAAAGGAACAGGATGGGTGAAACTGGGGAAAAATAGAAATACATATAATAAGAATCCACATACAAAATAAGCAGTATAGAGTTGCTGGTGAACATAACAATTAACAAATACAGATAAATCTAAATCTCACCAGCGATGCTGTGTGTATGGGATGTGGGTTTTGTCCTCAGATGACCATGTGCCACAGATTAGGCTGGATTCTTCCTGGTGCTTCTGCTTCCTTCCAAACGCTAAAGGAAATGGAGTCTGGCTTCCCAGCGTGCACTTGTTCTGGGAGTGAGGGTTCATGGGTAGATGACTCTAAAAATGGGCTGGGTCAGCTTCCAAACAATACAGATTGGTATTTGCCCCCTCCCCCCCGGCCACTAGATGGGGCTAGAAAGCAACAACAATATAGATATACAAATTATATGCTGGAGCATGACACCCCCGCCTCCTCCTCCTCCTCTCCAGCGATCTGTCAAGGCAGAAGTTGGACTCAGAGGAAAATGCTTCCTGCAAAATTTTTCCTCCGCAGTTCCACGTGCAGCAGCGTCACCCTCTGCCTCCTCTTTTGCCTCTGGGGGAGACACAGGACAGGGAAACACCAACACTCAGATGTCTGTGTCAACTTTTGAAACAAACCTTGCTGAAGCCATTTTTGTCGTTCTCAGTTGCCACACAGGTTGGGCGGGGGGTGGGGAGAAAACAAAGGATTTGCTAGACATAACATGGAGTGATCCCCTGGGAACCAAGATCACCCTCACAGGTGCTGGAAGTTGGAGAGAAAGAGTGTCAAGGAGCCCGCCAATTGCCCTCATTGGGTAGCGTGATCAATAGCATGGTAGGGGGGAGGGAAGTATTACATTTAATTAAATTGAATCTGTACGAGAATTTTAGAGTTGGTTTCACTTTTGATCGTGTTGATATTATGTATCCAATAAACATGTTCTTTGAGGAATCTTCAAGCCTCAGAGTTCTGATTTGTTTGGGTTCATTAGTCGGAACCTCAACATTAAACCAACTCTCCAAAACTTTTTTACTGCTGAGATAGAAGGAAATCGAAGAGCGCTCTTCGGGGTCCTGAGCCGCGACCGCCTACCCAATTCTTTTGGGAGGACGGTGAAGACTCAGGGAAGATTCCAGGATGGAGAAAAAAGGGGAAGTGACTGCTAGCCCCAGCACAACCCCTGCAGATGGAACACGGACAGCTGTCCAGACCGGGGACAGGGTTTCGTCAACAGGGGCCCGACTGAAGCTCTGTGTGGAGAAGTCTGACAGGCCAGCAGCATGGGAGGAGGTTCTAGCCATTGGGGATCTCTACTGAGCAGAGGAAGACTCCAGGCGCAGGAGTACCCCTAAAGCTGCCAAAGCTGAGTTCCCCTTGATCTCTTCCCATAGCCCTGTATCTCTCACACTGAAATGGAGAGTAAAAAGAGCAGCGGGATGGGATGAGTCAGGGGAATGGAAGTACCTGACAGCTGTCTATGGGCAGTCGGTCAAGAGGCTGAAGGAGAAGTTCTACCAGATGGAGATTCAGGGAGCGACCCTGATTGGAAGACTCAAGGCCCCAGTTGGGGCTGAGGCCAGAATCACCCAACTGCTTCTCGCCCATCAAAGCCTGAGCCCAGTCATTGTGACCTGTGTGGCTTCCTCGCCTCCCAGGCCAGCGTCAGTGGGTGCAGTTCTTCTCCAGAAAAACAGCAAGGGAGACCTACAACCATGCGCATATACCTCCAAAAAACTCACTGACACAGAGAGACGATGGGCTATATGGGAGAAAGAGGCGTTTCCCATTTGTTGGGCATTACTAACCTGGCGTCATTTTCTAGAAGGGAGTAAAATACCCTTTGAAGTGTGAACTGCCCATAAAAACCTTGAGGCACTTAGAACTCCTCAAAAATTATCCCCTAAGCAGGTTCAATGGGCGCAATACTTAAATCGTTTTAACTTCACTCTAAAGTACATTCCTGGAGGGAAGAACTTCCTCACTGACACCTTGTCCAGAATGCCACAAGACAAGAGCAATCATGAGGAAGTAGTCAATGCTATCATCCCCTCACCTCAAAAAGCCTCTCAAGTGATCAGTAGACATCAAGCTCGAAAGCAATCCGCTGGTCCCGACAGCGGCTTGACCCAGAAACTTAGAAACGAATTGAAATCCGACCCCTGGTTCAGAGACAACGGGCAATTGTTGACATATAGGGATGAATTAGCATGGAAAGGTTCCAAATTGTACCTTCCTAGTACCCTCAGGATCCAAGCCTTACAACAAAGCCACGATGCCAAGCAAGCCAGTCACTCTGGGTTCCTAAAGACTTTACACCTAGTAAGAAGGCAGTTCTGGTGGCCAGGAATGAAAAAAGACATTGAAAACAATGTAAAGAGTTGTGCAATTTGTGCCACCATGAAAAAAAAGACTGGGAAAAACCCCTTGACTGTTACAACAGGTAGCGGAGCCATCCCAACCATGGGAGGAAATCGCAATGGACTTCATCGTAGAGCTTCCTGAAAATGGTGGGAATACCGTAATTTGGACTGTTATTGACCTTTTCTCTAAGCAAGCTCACTTTATAGCCTGCCCTGGTCTTCCCTCCGCCCAGAAACTGCCGAAACTGTTCTTAAAACACATCTACCGACTCCATGGAGTACCGAGAAGGATCATATCGGACCGAGGGGTCCAGTTCACAGCTAAATTCCAGAGGGAGTTTGTAAAATTGATTGGATCCACCCAGGGCCTCAGCTCGGCTTTTCATCCAAGTACGAATGGAGCTGCTGAACGAGCGAACGCAATGGTGGAACAATACCTGAGATGCTATGTTAACTAACTGGGCAGACCTCCTGCCTTTTGCTGAAGTGGCATACAATAACACTGTGCACAGCAGTACTGGACTTACTCCTTTTAAAGTAGCCACTGGCAGGGAATTCGTTCCCATGCCTTAATATCCCCAAGAACCCCCTTCCTCACTAACGCTGACAGAGTGGGTAAGCTCACTGCAGAGCGCTTGGGCAAACGTAAAACGTGCCTTAGCCAAAGCCACTAAGAGTCAAAAGGAGCAAGCAGATAAAAGGCGGTCCCCCCAGAAACCATTTCACGTAGGGGAGAAAGTCTATCTCTCAACCAAATACATACGATTACAGTTACCATGCAAAAAACTGGGACCTAAATTCATCGGTCCTTTCCCCATCATAAGGATCATAAACCCCATTACTGTGGAGCTGAAACTCCCATGACTATTAGGGAAAATATATCCAGTTTTTCATTGCAGTTTATTAAAACCAGTCATAGAATTGATGTTGAGACCAGTACCTCTCGAGTAGCCCCAGGTTCCATTATAGTGGAAGGTGACACCCATTATGAAATAAAACGGATTCTTGATTCTAGGCTGTATAAAGGGAAATTACAGTATCTAGTTCAATGGAAAGGCTATCCTTTGTTAGAAGCTACTTGAGTAAAGGGTAAAGATGTGAAGGCAGATAGGCTAGTACAGAAATTTCACAATAAACATTCCCCAAAAGTCTAGAGAGCCTCCGGGTGATGAAGTAGATGATTAGTAAAATGCTAATGTGTATTTATGCTTATTATTTTCCAGGAACTTCTTTCTCTCTAGGGGAGTCCAACTGTCAACTTTTGAAACGAACCTCACTGAAGCCTTTTTTGTCATTCTCAGTTGCCACACAGGTTGGGCCGGGGGGGGGGAACAAAGGATTTGCTAGACATAACATGGAGCGATCCCCTGGGAACCAAGGTCAGCCTCACAGGTGCTGGAAGTTGGAGAGAAGGAGTGTCAAGGAGCCCGCCAATTGCCCTCATTGGGTAGCATGATCAATGGCATGGTAGGGGGGAGGGAAGTACCACATTTAATTACATTGAATCTGTATGAGAATTTTAGAGTTGGTTTCACTTTTGATCGTGTTGATGTTATGTATCCAATAAACATGTTCTTTGAGGAATCTTCAAGCCTCGGAGTTCTGATTTGTTTGGGTTCATTAGTTGGAACCTTGACAGTCCAGGCTTGGAGAGAAGGATGCCTTCTTCAGCATGCTGCACACACACGCACGCACATACACACACCATTCCAAGCTTGGGGACTTTTATCCACATCCGAGCTGGCAAGCTGCCAATCATGCCTGAGCTTGGGGAGAAGGACCTCTCCTTCCTCTGTGGATGAAAGTCCCCAAACTCGGAATGGTGTGTGTGTGCGTGCATGAGCGCCTAGATCACCGAATGTTCTGTCCCAGCCTACGTCCATCTTTGTTGCGTCACAAAAACAAACCCCTCTTTAACAGTAGGCTGGGAAAACCAACCTTTTTATTACAAAAACAGTCCTGATAAGTTTTCTCAAAAACAAAAACAACAGAATACTTTTCCAACAGATAAAAAGCAAACAGAGCAGGAGTTAAACAAGACATTCATCGGTAAAACAGACCATGATCCCTGGAAGTTCTTACAAACGGTTGCCTTCAGCAACCAGCACCGCATACACCTCCTCTTTTTATACAGCAGTTCCAAGGCGTTGCCTCTCAGTGCCTTCTCCATTTTCTCTGGAGTTGTCCCATTGACTGCTGCTGATTTACTCTTGCTAATTGCCTGCGTGTGCGAGCATCAATTAGCAAGTCCATCAGGTGTGAGTCGTCCGAGTCTGAATCAGTCCCCTCACACAGCTGAGCTTCATCAGGAACACGACTGGAGGGCCCAGGCTCTTCATCAAGCCGTGAGTCTTGTACTTCATCAGAGCCTCCCTCTGACCCTGATGGCCCTTCAAATGCCTCCTCCACCTCCTCCTCAGATTCCTCAAACTCAGCTGTTGGGAACACAGGCTGGCACGGAATCACGACATCGAAGGAGAGGTCCTTCTGACAAGGCCCGGGCTTGATTGGCAGCTTCCCAGCATGGATGTGGATAGAAGTCCCCAAATGCGGAATGGTGTGTGTGTGTGCGCACACTTGGCTGCTGGCAGTTTGGGGAGGTGAGCTGGTGGGGCGCCGAGTTGTCCCCATGTCAAGTTAGCCGGTGCGACTTGTTCAGCGCCGTCCCAGCTGGGCCAAGCCTGTGCGCTCACCTGACCATGCTGACTCAGTGGCGCCCACCTGGGCACGCCCACCAAGCCATGCCCACCCATCCACGCCAACCTGGCCACTGTGAGTTCTCCCATTCCGTTCCTAGAGGGCTTCCAACAAGCAAAGTCAATGGGTGAAGCCAGATTTGCTTAATGATGATGTGATTCACTTAACAACTGAAGCAAAACGGTCATAAAATCAGGCATGGCTCACTTAACAACTGCATCACTTAGCAATGTAAGTTCTGGTCCCAATTGTGATTGTAAATCAAGGACTACCTGTACACTTAACTAGATTGATGAGGGGGGTTTATATGTTGGAGAAAAACTAATATGGAATGAACTGACCTAATCAACTAGCCAAAGGTGTTAAATTAAGTCAGAACAGATCATATCATTTACTAGGTTCAATTAACATCACCCAATCAGTTATGCTATAGGAATACCTAAGTCTAGTCAATTGATCCATTTTGCTTACTTATGTCATGGCCCCCTCAGAGGCCGGTTTGGAGGAGGAAGAAGAGTTGGAGCTGGGACCATCTGACAGGGAAGGCATGCCAGGGGCTGAGGACGATGCTGTTTGGGGGTCCTCAGGCATTGGGGGAGGTGGTTGACCAGATGGAGAGCTGCCTGCCTTCATAGACACAGGGGAGGATCGGCTGCTGACAGGCAGTGGTACTGATAGGCAGTAGATCCCCTCTGATGAGGAACAGCTGCCTACTCCACTGATCCAAGGGCAAGGAGAGTGGAGCGTAAGAGTAAGCCCAGAGAAGGGCTGCAAGGCTACTTGGGAGGAGGTGGCCCCACCCCTCCTCGCAAGGAACACCTGGAGGGGAGTAACTTAAGGAGAAGCTGTGGGGAGTTAGTCTTTGCCAGGAACAATTGTTTGCTTTTGCTTGTGTCTGTTGCTGTTTGCCTTGCCTCGCTTGGAAGATTGCTCTTTGCATTTTGTTTTGGACCTTGTTGTCATGCCCCCGTTGGAGCCTGAATCTGCTGAGGAAAATGAGCTGGAACCGGACCCTATGGAGGTCAAGGGAGAGGTGTCTGTGGCTTCAGAGGAATGTGGGGAAGAGCAGGCTGAGGCAGGCCAGGGCCTTTCAGGAGTGGGACAGGATGAACATGAAAGACAGAGCTCAGGTGATGAGCAACGGCCACCCCCTCCTGATCCTAGAGTGGAGAGGAGGGAACAACGCAGGCAGGCTCAACTACTCAGGAGGAGAGTGCCCTGCCCCTTTCCACAAGGCACACCTGGAGACTGAGACTTAAGGAGACGCTGTGGGGAGGGGCATTTGTTGGGAACAAACGCTGATTTCTTGGAGTTTTGTATGCTGTTGCTGATCTTGGAAACAACTTTCTGATCTCTTGTTCTGTGTTGTGGTTTCTGCTTGGAAACCCTGAAACTCTGACCATTGGACTGGCTGACAAACTTGATTTGGTGTTCAAAGACCTAGGATTGAATTTTGGCTTCTCTTCTGAAACTGCTCAGGCAAGCTTGCATTTCCACAGACTCGTTAGATTTTGGATGTTTGTTTCTTTCCTTGTTATCTATGTGGCCTTGAGTAAATTACTCTTCTAATCTGTGAGTTGAAACCTGAAGGAGTATGGCTTGTTCCATACACACACTTTCCCTGCCTGAAGAGTTAAAAACTTGTGAAACTACTTGCAGCCAGAGGCTGCTGAAGGTGTGTATGCCTTACTTTGTTCTGCGGCTTGCCAGAAACATGGGAGCATTTGGGGAAAACTGGAGCAAATAAAGGGCGGTTTGAACTGCCAGTTGACTGTTTTGCCTCTGTGCCATGCCTTGGGTCATCACACTTGTCCTTCTTTTGTTGGCTGGAACATTTGTTAAGAGAAATAAAGAACTCTCTAGAGGCTTGCCTTGACCACCTGGGTCATAACATTTTCCAAGATAATAATAATAATAATAATAATAATAATGATGATGATGATGATGATGATGATGATGATGATGATGATGATGATGATTTATTTTATTTATTTATTTATTTTTCATAATTTATATGCCGCCCTTCTCCCCACGGGACTCAGGGCGGCTCACAGCATATAAAAATAACACAATACAAACAACACACACAACATTTCCCCTATAAAAGCCAATTAAAAACCAAATATTTGTAGCTGTGACATTATTAAAATCATTAAAAATTATCCCTATTTAAAATTCACCCTAGGTCAGTCCCGCTTGCTGAAAAAGCCATGTCTTGAGGGCGCGGCGGAAGGTTAGGAGATCCGGAATTGTCCGGAT